GGGTAGCATTTGCAACGCTGGTTTCCAGTTTTAAAAACTTTTCTAGGTGACAGTAAGTAGTTGTAATGAAAAGTTAAGTGCTGTACCAAACTGCTGAAGAGAAACTGTGCTAGCAGGTTGTCACTGCTGCTAGCAGTTGTGCAAGCTGCAGAAGAGGGCTCAGTGCAGTGCCTGCATGAGAAGCAAGGTCAAGCATCTCTTATGCTGATGCTATACTTTTGTGGCTAGACCAAACAGTGCTGCAGTCCAGACATGCCCTGAGGAAAATTAACTACGTGAAAGTCACTCTTAATCACCCTCAGCTGATCACGCTGTGTTGAATGAGCATTGCAGAACAGAGATGTTGGTGACAAAAATAATATACCTCTTCAGCTGCAGTGGGCACGTAGCTCTGCTGAGGGGGTGCAGTGTGGGTAACTTGGTTCTGTTTTCTTACTTAGGCAAAGTTGGGTCTGCAGGACTCGGTTGGTTATATCAGGTACACAACAAACTGTTGGTTGCTGTAGTTTAGAGCTGAAAATGTAGCCAGTGTGTGTGTGCAAGTCAGTGATGTGACACTGGACCCTAATGACACTTAGGCTGAACTAAACTGAATCTTTAGTGGCTATGTTCTTGCTGTAAGGGCTATGTGGCAGCGTGCAATGGGTCTGCCATTCCATCAGACACTGGGGAATGAACTTCAGTCTCTACCTTGAGTTCAGTTGGTAAAGATACCGCACTGTAATTGTCTTGACTTTTTCCTGTTGAAATGCTGGTGAGAATTAAAATGCAGTGGGTAACACCCGCAGTAACCTAATGGTTCTGACTCAAGGCTGGTTAATACCAACTCCTCCCGAGGGGTTTGTATGAAGATGCTGCTGTTGCAGCTGAGACTGCAAGAAGGATGGTGAGGAAGTGCCTCTCCTGGAAAGGCATGTGGCCCTCAACAGACTGGTGCTTCTGGCAGCCAGAAGATACTCCTGTTACTCCACAGCCCATTGGTGGCTGCATGTCAGGTGAAATGCAGATGTTCTGCACTTGCAGCTGACTGTAGAACCTGCAGGGGCTTTATCTGTTGTAGCTGGAATTGTAGCACTGAGCCCTAACCTGACTCCTGTAGTACACAGGTAAGTTCCCAGGTAGGAACTGGCTCTGGTCTCAAGTGTTGGTGTGTTTCTGTCATGTGAAACAGCTGGGGTAGTAGGAAAGGAAATTTAATGAATAAATGATGTTGTCTTATGTTCCAGTTGAAGTGGAGGAATATAGAGCTATCAGCTCTGTAAACAGTAACTGAAATTTAAGACAAGTCTCTCATGACCCTTTAAATACTGTTGTGAATTTGAAAGTGGAAGTAGCAAAAGATGTTCCCTATGTTTATGTCAAAACCCTGCAGCAGACTAAGGATCTCTTGGAGTTCTCTTCTTTCCCATTTTCCTGCCTGCTCCCTCTGTTCCAATTTCAGCTGCAGTCCTAACGCACTACCTTGTTCTTGTGGTTTGAAAGCCACTAAGAGAAGCAGAGGCTTAAAATTATGATCTTCCCTGTGTATTCTTTTGATTCTCAATAAATGTAGCTCTACCTGCTGCTTCTGAAAAATCCATACAAAGCAGCATCTGTTGTTTTTACCAGGTCAATGAACAAGCAATTACCATGTAGTCAACCCTCTTTAACAGACCAATGTTACGGACAGACTTATAGTAGTTCATTAGCACTGCAATTACCTTTGCAGTTAGCTTACAAATCTGGAACTGTTAGTATGAAAGAAGGATGATTTGTAAATTAGATTTTAAAAAGGGCCAGATTCCTGACATTCAAATACGCTGTTTCTATAGGTTTCCTTTAGGAAAACTAAAGGTAGCTGAACTGCTACCTTGTCATGGATTTGAGCTCACCCATGATTTAGCATTTGTATGACACAGTTTAGTATAGAGAGGTTTAAAACTATTTAACTTCCACATAGTCTGTCACGTGTACGTGTCTTGTCTCCTCTTGTCTCCTAGTACTTGGGTTGTTCCACCTTAGCACATGGTCAGTCTGCTATCTTGACAAGCACGTCAACAGTTGAAACAAGTTTAGCTTTCACTTGCTTTAGTTTGATGTAGAAACCTGCATCTTCAAAGACAGTTTTAAGAAACAGCTTAAAGCAAGAACCGTAGGATCGTGCGAAGCTCAAAGCACTGAATGCAAGAGGGTCACACACACCATTGTGAAGGCTCTCAACCATGAATGTAATGTTGCTGACTATGGTAAAACTGTCCAACTTCAGGAAATGTCTGTTTTTCCACCCCAGGAGTTGGAAGATGCAGCAAGCCTGACAGTGAAGACTGAAGAACTTCCTTAAAGAAGTCTGGCAGTCTGAAATAGTGACCATGTCTATGGATCACAGCCCCACCACTGGAGTGGTGACTGTTATTGTTATTTTGATTGCTGTTGCAGCTCTTGGTGCCTTGATACTGGGCTGCTGGTGTTACCTGCGTCTGCAGAGGATCAGCCAGTCGGAAGATGAGGAGAGCATTGTGTGCGAAGGAGAAACTAAAGAGCCCTTTCTTCTGGTGCAGTATTCTGCTAAAGGACCTTGTGTAGAGAGGAAAGCTAAGCTAACTCCAAATGGCACAGAAGTACACACTAACTCGGAGCAACATGTGTATGTGGACTGTGCTTATTGTGTGTAACCAGAACCTCTGTACTGTGAAGAACCTGGTCACGTGCATCCTAGTCACAGAAAACACCCTGATGGGGCTTAAATCAGCTTTGTTTGCAACTGCATGCACTGAGAAGTTGCACTTTGCATCAGCTGTGTATCCGAATTCCTCTGTGACAGGAGCTGACTCGCCTGACATAACGTCCATTGCTGGCAATGGACACAGGGATTCATTGGTGTGAAGAGACTACTAGTGGTTTTTGTTACTTGAATGTTTAGTTGAGCTTATTCTGATGGAGCTACTACTGTAATGTGAACTATTTTACAGCTGTGAACTGTAACTAGGCTGCCAGCAGCTTTTTGCTTTGTGTTCCACAGCAGATGGGAATAATATGATGCAATGTAACACACGAGGGGACTCCTGAACCACAACTGCAGATGGGATTCCAGACCTTGGAAAACAGATCTGCAGTTCAAGCTTGTTTCTGCTGCTAACAAGAGTGCATAGTCATGAAGGCAGAACTTCTACTCTTAAGTTGGACTGATACAGAATACTTTCTTTGAAAAGAAGGTGTAAGCCTTCAGTAACATGTTGAGGGAAGAAACATGGGAGCTACAAGAAAAGAACTGGTTTCCTTTAGTTGTGGCTAGGTGGGTTAAAGCAGGTTTTGGCTGCTAGAACTGAGTTATCCAACTGTGTAGCTACTGCAAGGAAACTGCCATATTGATGGATTCCGACCTGGGAACTAATGATGGATGCTGAACTCTCAGGGATGGTCCAGAAGGTTTCCAGGAGTCTGAAATGGCAGCAGAGCAGGCTTTTCTCTTCTGTAGGTCTGCATGCAGAAACTGCAGAAGTGGATGCTTATTAAAACTGCCCTAAGTGCAACTAGTAGGAATTTTTCCTACAACCCCTGCTTGTGTACTTAGCAGTTAAAGTATATATATGTTAACGGCCTGTTGTAAAAAGGCATTTTAGTCTACAAAGTCAGCTGTAGAATTCAGCTAATATGTCTTGTAGATAACTCTCTTGATTTAACTGATAAGTTTCCCTCTTTCCTATAAAAACAAACATTGATATGAGGAAGGGTGATTGCTGGTCAGTTTGTAAAAGACTAGCTAGCACTGGTGAAGTCCTTCCAGATAAGGACCTCCATTCTATGTCCTGTCCTGTGCTATAGTTCAGCTGTAGGAACTGTAAAAAGATGTGTTAAAGGGAGGGTTCTGGACCTCAAAGATGTGGGGGCAGAAAAGGGAAAAGGACCACCACTGAGCAACAACGGCAGCTTTTGTACTCCAACCCTGAGGGCAGGCACACGTGCTTTGAGGCTGCTGCTGTGTTTTCTGTGACTTTGTAAATAGCTGGAATTTTTAAGCATTTAATTGCCTAGAAAAAGAGCTACTGTAAATCTGTTCCCTGAGATACATTACAAATAATGAAGTCCAAGTTCTTCAGCTCTATAGGAAGCATTAGATGTGCTTCTTGTACCTGTACATGCAGAGTAACTAAGGAACACAGGCCTAGCAAGCTTGCTTGAAAACTGTAACTATATGCCTAGACAAAGTCTTGTCCCTTTCTTCTACAGTAAGATGTTGACCTGCAGTTTTAGTGCAATTTTCTTTTTAATTGAAGGCTATGATCTGGAGTAAAATTAATGCTGTCAGTAGCAAAGAGCTGCTGTTGCCTCTTGAGTAAAATACGGGGTACAGCTGATAGCGCGCTGTTCTTATGGCCTTCTTTGAAGAGCTGAGTCTCATGAGACTTGTGTGTACAGCCAGAAACCACACACTAGACACCTTACAAATCAAGGAGAAAAGGATTAATTCAGAAAGACTTTTAGTTTTCAGTAGAGAGCTGTTCACACGTGGCTCCTGCAGGTTTCAAGCCGGTCAGATACCTGGTGTTCAGAAGGAGATGAAGTTCTAGAGCAGAATAGTTGCAGCAAGATGACCTTGTCCATTCAAGTTTACTGATTACACAGATGAAATCTCTACTTTAGTTCAGCAAAAAGAACGCAATGTAAATGGCAAACTTCAGAAATTACAGAGAAGGAGAAATCAAAGGTCTAATTTCTCTTCTAGCAGCTGTAAGAGAACCAGGGAAAAAGAACTGGTCTGCAGGCAGGGGTTTCACACTGCCCCCAAAAATCAGCATCTTTAAATGGATGGATGTTGCAAATGAGTGCAATAAAGTGCAGAAAGTGTTTTCCATTCTCCTCTCTAGATGTGGGCATAAGTTGTTCAAGTATACAAAAATATTCCATTTGATTTTTCTTTTTCTAGATCATGTGGGGGAAGAAGTCTTTTATTTACAAAGAATTTCAATAAAATTTGCATAAATACCTACCCAATACTGCATCATCTGCCTTTGTGTAAGCCATCATTCTGTCCTGTTTGCACTACTGTGCTCTGTTTCTACTGTATCAGTATTGTCAGTCCTTTGTTCTTCTAATGTGGCAGCAGCTGTTGAAACGGATACATCATCGTCTTCTGAAAGTGTTTGCTCTGACTGGAGGGATTCTTTCATTTCATCCTTGCTCAGTAGCTTTCCTTCCTTTGATGCCACCAGGATTCTCAGTAAAGTGTTCTCTTTAAGGAGGTTTTCTGATGCATCAGCCAATTCTTGAAGCTTTTCAGCCATTTCGAGTAATTCTCGGTTCTTCTGGTCGTACGTGGCCTGTAAGCGCTCACTGTGGAGCTGCAGAGTCCTGTGCTGCTTTTCCAGAGTGTGTTTTTGCTGCTGCAGTCTCTGTTCCTCTCTCCTGGCCTCAGAGAGCTGTGCTTCCAGCTGGCCGTGGGCCTGATGAAGGGCACTGATTTCTGACCTTAGCTTCTGAATCTCTCTCTCCAAGTGGGAGATGTGTCCTTGCTGCAGAACCGTCTCTTTTTGTAGGCATTCTTTGGTACAGGGCTCTGCTGAAGAAAGACTTGAGTGTTGCAAAATAAATTTAAGGAGATTAGGAAGGTTAACTGGAAAGTCTTCAGGGAACTTCACACTTTGCTCCTTCCTAGAAAAACATAGTAAGGTGTTATTAAAACACTGAGATAGGTGAGCAATGATCATTTTATCGAAGCATCTGTTGTTCAACTCCAACTTGGTATCTTGTTTTTATCAAGAATGGTGAATACAGCAGCTAAGAGAAACCTGAACTCATCTAATAAAGATAGAGCACCCAGTATTTTCTTTCAGTGAACCCTTTTACCTGTGTTCCACTGGTGCTGTAAGCACTGGATGGGTATTTGAGAGCAACATTTTCTGCCAAATTTCAGGAAGCGAATTTTACTTGTTCAAAAAACCCTAAGTATCCTAATTCTGAGTTACAGGCTTGAAGTACACATGGCAGCACCACTGCTGGGCAGGTGTGATCAGAGGATACTGATGTTACCAGCTGTTAGTAAGCTAAAGGAGAGCATTTAAGTGTTCCCAACTATACATATTCAAAATTATGCCCAGGTGTACAAAGCCCTCTGATGGGAAATTACTATTTTAACCATATGTGTATATATTATTCCCAGAAGCAGCAGATAATGTGTTCCAACATCAGAAGGGTATTGCAAGGAGCAGAAAAGTACAGTTTGTTTTTAATACAGTAAGCAGTCACTTAAGTCAAAAGCAAAGCTGTTCTGCTGTCAAAAAAATCAAATATTTTTATTTGTTCCTCTTACTTCTTTGTCTTTATACTGCTGAGGTGATCAAGGAAGCAAAACAAACGAGTCTGGTGGTGGTTGTGGTTTGTTTTGGGTTGGCTTTGGTTTGGTTTGTGTCCCTGAAGCTCACTGCATAGCTGTGAACACTAAGCCCAGCAGATGAAGAGGCAGGCCCATGGCTTTCTGCAGCAGCATAAACTGTTCCTCTTCACCTGAGGAGAGTCTAAGCTCCTTGGAGACCAACAAGTACCAGATTTCTTCCTCACCCAAAAAGACACCCACAACCTCCAGCCGTGTCACGTGTTAAAGTTGCCATCCTTCCCAGAGCACACACATTTTATCAGTCACAAAGCACAGGAGATTACACTGTCCTCTCAGGACTAGAGAGGAACTACCTCTTAACCTGCTCTTTCTGAACCAGTTAAGCCTTCAACCTTTCACTCAGCATGTTCCAGGCTAACCAGAGTTTGCTGCCTGCTGCAGCAGAGCAGTGACAACGTTGAACTGGGAAGCCAGCTGATGGACTCCTCCTCTCTAAACCAGCCTGCCTCTGCTTG